CGTTTCGTTTACTTTGATAACAAAGTCAGGGATGTGATAGGTATTGAAGTAGAGTCACAATCAGACAGACAAGGCCAAAAGGCAAATGAACAACTCAAGCTGACAAACATGCATCAGACGGGCGAGCATACGCAATTTTCACGCGAGCTACGGAGACAGAGTCGACGAATCGATTCGGAAGCGGAAGGCAGAGATGGGAGACACAAAAAGATGAGAATGGAGACCTGGCGTGGCAAAAGTGTAGACCGGCTTTGCCAATGTCCCAGGAGCGCATGGTTTTAACTAGACTAGGGGAAGCGCGCACAGGCACATTGAGTGATCCAAAGAGGAAGAGTATATAGCAGGAGGAAAGGGATGATGAAAATCGGGCCCTGTGGAGCCGGTCGATAGAAATGGAACATGATAGATAAAAAAGAATAGTTGAAATGCACAATGTGTAAGCCAGTCAGTCTACTCCGCATTGATACCTAAGTATAGAAAAAAATAGCAATGACATGTATGGGGTCAATTGCAAAGAAATGACGAAGATGATTGAAGGGTAGTAGCAGAAATGAAGAGGTTTTATAACCGGAGGGTGGAGTCTAGAGAGGACGGGAATGATGGCGAGATGACTTCTTCAAAAAACTATTAGGTGCAAAAAGAGTCTACATGCTTAGAATGTGCTATGTAATGCAGATATATATAATTTTCCATAAATGTAAATGAAAATGTGAATAAGTTAATACACAAGTCAACGCACAAAGAAATATACAGTGATGATCCAAAATTATCCTCTGGCGAAAAAGACTACCGGATGATTGTGGAATACGCTCAGGACGATGGATTCGCTAAGGTTTGACAGAGCAGCACATGCTGATTACCTAGCGAATTAACCAATGGAGTAGTGTAGTTTAGTGTGAACACTATTGTCTGTTAGTGAGTACGCAAAGGTGGGTAAAGGGGCAGATGCAATGGATGAGTGAGTTAAAGGTTTAGAGGTTGAGAAGTCGAGAAACAGAGGATAAAAGGCTAGTTAGTCAAAGCCAGGAGTGCCAAATGATAGAAGAGCATCCGTAGGCGGTCTGATGAGGCAATAAGGTGCGGTTTACGAGTATAGAGGTGCTTACATTCCCCAAGCAACTGCCGAATTCGACTTGTCAAATGGAGTTCGAACGGGACAGATGAAGTCACCTCCGAAGGCTTATGAACAATAAAAGGTGAATCCGAAGATAAATGTAAATTCAAGCACGAGTGAAGGGAGCAGAGATGAGCGGTGTTGCACATGAAAAAATTACAGACCAACAGGCCAACACCGGAATAGTAAGCACAGAAAGAAAAGTTAGGGAACATGCAACTAGAGAATACCAAGGCTAGGAATATATAGGAAAGAAAAAAGTGAGTGGTAATATAGATGAGGAGACCCGATGAAAAGAA